CGTGATGTAGGTGGAGAAAGATGTGATGGGGTGGCTTAACCGGCGGTTGTCTACCGCAGGCCCATGCGGTGGGTGAATGTGCGGGGGAAATGAGGGCAGCTGCAGCGGATGCGGCGAGTGGATGTGGGCACCCCAGGTACTGGGAGGCGGTACATTCGCGTGAATGTACTCCCTCTTAGTTGAGATCCACTTTCCACACATTCAATTGACAATTACAAAAAACAGAACACACGAGGTGTGAGACTTACGTTTGACTTCCATGCGAAAGCGATGCGAAGCAATAAACTACCCCTGATGACTTCGCAAAACCGAGCAGAACTGAACACATCGTCTTAGCGGCAGACCTTGCCCCAGCAAGTTTATGGCCTGATTACCGAACAGTTTTAGAACTTCTAAACGCATCGGTATTGAGAAGGATCCCACTTAACTGTCAGTAGACTGTGGGCCGTGTCATCTGGGGTTTTATCTTGGCATACCTTTGCAGGCTGTTGTAGAAGTTATACTGCCAACAACAATTACTGCCCACGACCTCACACCTTAGCACAAAGTTCATTACTTTGTTAGATTTATTTTTGATCATTGTTTAATTACTACTCTCAGTTCCGCTGTCGTACAATAGCGTAGGATAAGACTTTTGGGCATAAATCCAGGCAGTTTCTGTGTTTTCTTCCACTTTGCCAGTATACTGTCTAGCGTGCTGCCCCACCCATAAAACTCCCTTTACCATAAATCACGTATGGCACGATTCACAGTCCACTGACAGTTAAGTGGGGTCCTTCTCTATACCGTTGCCCTTCTAAGGTGCGAGTCGATGCGGGACTTGACTGAATCCACGGACGAACGTCTTGCCTATCGAACAGAGCCTTAGAATGATGGTTAGCTTCTTCAAACCAAATCATTGATTTATTGATCTGTCCAGTGCCCTACGGCGTCTCTCATGCACATAATCTAGTAGCGCGAAGAGAAGTATGATTCGCCCTAATCCTTCCGCCACTAGAGCTCGGCGGTCGTCAGCTTCTGCAATCATAAGCGTGCAAAAACATAATTCGGCCAGATCGCAGTTGATAGCCAGGAACGCGGAAGCGGACGGCGAACTTAACCCTAATTCTAACCTTAACCCTAACTCTAACCTCAACTCTAAACGTTAACCGTTAACCCAAACGGTGACTCCTACCCTAACCCTTACCGATATCGTAAACGAAACCGTAGCCTTTAGACATAGTCGTAACTGGAAAATCTAACCGTAATACGGAAACCTAATCGCACGCTCAAACCCTAACCGTAACCCGAAAATTTAAGCCTAAAGGCATAACTCTAACCCGAAAATCGGAACCCATTAACCGGTTCCCTAATCCTAATCTCAAACGTAAAACGGATGTCAAATGGGTCAGATGTGATTATGTAACTCCACGAAAAAGCACCAGTAAACAAACCCCCAGCCACCTATAATACGGGGCCTGGCTACCAACTGCGATCTAGCCCATAATTCATAGGTATCTAATAAGTCTCCTGGTTCAACAAAATAATGGCATGAACTGCACTCGTAAATGTGCATTTTTCATTGAAGAAAAACTACAAACTTGCCATTTTCTGGTGTTGTGATGTTGAGTTGTGCCGCCACCCCAATGTCGATGGGGTTGTATGCCGCTACCTCGAACTGATAATCGCGGCCAAATTCTAAAATGCAAAAAAATTCGTTGTTACGTCTATTTAACATTTTTGGAAACTCGACTGGGAAGTAATCGATGGAGTAAGAACTGATATCGAGGCATCGTTGTCAAACATGTGTAAGAAATCTCTGATGCCACTTACGTTTTAGCATTTTAACTTGCTCTAAAAGTTATATAAAGTGTCACATTTAATATGATTATCTTTGCGTTTCTCTGACGTCTTTCTAACTTACAATGCATAACCATCAACCTTTTCAGGATGGGATGCAATTATTTAGGTGACCTAATACAAGGATAGGAGAAAAAATCTGTTGCATTTAATAATGGTAGAGGTTGATCCGCATGGAAACTAGCTTTTGAAAAACGCA